AAGCATAGATTCTTTATTAAAATAGTGTATTACATATTTATTATAATAATACAATAAATTGATCCTATCTTTTTTTTCATATAGATCGTCTACTGAATGTACCATTTGTGAAAACACGTGATTTTGACCGGGGTGCCCTGGCTGAAATCTGCTAAAAAAGGAAAAGGCTATCTCTCACAGATCGACCTGAGTAGGGAAATGTATTATAGCTACATATTTACCTGCATATATAAGGCATGTGTGATGGTCGTTAAGACGCTAAAGCATAAATAAACATGTTTCTGATTCTCATTAAAATATATATGATGTAATAGTGATACACCGCCAATCATCTGTGTAAGTGCTATCAGCTTGTGTGACAAAATAATTTCACACATAAATCAATCCTCCCCAAAAAATATTTTGATTTTTTTTTTCTTGCAATGTTCTAGAAAAATAATATATTAACTAATATGTATATTTGCTCTGGAGAGACAGACTATTTCTACTATATGAGGTCTAATTATTCTGACTGAATTACATATATAACGTTGTCAGGTCATAGTACTAAACAAGACGGACGAAAAAAATCCATATATGCATTACCCCCAACACCTTTCTAAATATCAAGATCTTCAATGCATATTTCCACATATCCTTATTCTCTAATGTAAAATTTTAGCGTAAAAGTGCCTTGCATACTCTTCTGCTCTGACCCCAACATGAACTCGGGTTCAGAAAAGGTGTGAATGAAGAGATTGCAACGTATTTAAAAGGATAGTATATGAAATTTGGGATTATATTTGCTTATTTTTACCAAGCTTTGTATTAATAATAACTCTTATATTTTAAATTAACAAATATGTCTAGCTTATCAGCTGAAATCTTCGCTCCATTATACAACTTTTTAAAAACTTCTTCTTTAGATAAAATAACCACTTCTAGTATAATTACGCAACAATGGAATTGTTTCAAAATTCAATCGGAAAACGAAGACTTTGATTGTCTTATGAAGATCTTAAAGAATATGGAGAATAAAGTTAATGATGAGGAGCGCAAACAACATCTTAAATCATTGCAGAATATTAACCAAGTAATCTACAATATTTTTATTCTTTACATAATAGGAATAACATGATGAATATGTTGTCTAGATATTAATAAGTGTGATGCGATTGAAAAAGCGACATATTGTCAGCGAGAATCTCTTTCATTACACTTACAATGATTTTAAGACGATAATACTGGCTAATTCTGATTAGGATGGAATTTTGCGCAAAAAAAATAATGATGTCTTCTTGAATTTTATTAACCCATCTATTTATTTTTAGATGCAATTTAATAGAAATGAGCTAGTTTCATTAAAAGACATGAGGTTCTTGCGAGGAAAATTTGAAGAAGAAGTAAATTGGAAAACTGTAGCATTAAATAATATAACGCTTTTGAAAAATAAAATCAATGTAATCAATATATTAATTTCGTCTCAGAAATTTCAGTCACGTGTTTTTTGAACTTTCTCATAAAACTAAATATTTTTCAATTAAAAGAAAGATACGCCAGCACATGAACATATTCTTACAA